TCGGGGGGGGGGGGCGGAGAGGTGCTCAAACACGGTTAGACATTTTCCCCTTCAGTCTCCCAGTAAACAAAGAATATTAGATCAGCTGGCGTGTTTATGCTGTAATGTATGATCGGATCCCTCGTTTCAGATCTTCGCATGATCACATAAGCGAGTCCGTGTTCATGCGATCAGATTTTTAGTTCCCATTTTGACTTTGGATCTGATTACTAAAGGACAACATGTCATGATAGAGGCGTGTGTGGTTGTGGTGTCATGTTCGCGTGTGCTCGGTCAATCTAGAAATCATGAGATCATGAAATGTGTCCTTAATAAACGTTTGATGGTGTTTATGCGCGGATCTTTTGTTCGGTGTCGTGTTATAGCGTTCGCGAACATGTGGGATATTTGAGCGCTTTGCGTAAAAATCAGTCCGAACTTGTTTATTCTGTAAGTTTGAGATGTTTTGGTTCGTGTTATTTTGGGTTTTGTCCGTATTTTAAGCGAAACGCTGTACGCACAAACACGCACAAGCGAGCCTCAGCTCTGACTGACTGCGGACGGGGCGAGGAATCCCGGGCACTGGCTTAAGCCCCGCCTCTCGTGGGCGGAGCATGGCAATATGAGCCTCACGTCATACATAACGCCCTCGCTGAACACCCGACCACTTAGAATCGACGATTCCTCCGCGTAAACGCCCCTGTGGGCTTACGTCATGCTTTACGCGTTGTCGGAGCGTTTGGCCAATCGGAGTCCAGAAATCTATAAGAGGCGGTTATTTAATGAAATCCCTCAGTCTGATTGGCCAGATGTCCTGAGGCGGTGTAAAGAATGACGTAACCTCAGGCAGGAAGTTCAGGAAGTTGCTGAAAGCGTTCAGACATGATGCCGCGACTTCATTAGGAAAATCACAAAGAGTAAAATGAAGCCGGCCAGATCGCTACTCACTCTCCAGTCTAAAAAGTGATTTAGCGTACGAGCTTCTCAAAGCCAGTCGTGGTTTCAGGAGTTTGTTTGTTTGTGTGTGTGTGTGTGTGTGTGTGTGTGTGTGTGTGTGTGTGTGTGTGTGTGTGTGTGTGTGTGTGTGTGTGTGTGGCGCGCGTGCGAAACAGTAGAGGATTTGGGCTCAACCCCCCTAACAATGTTAATTCTTGTTTGAGTGACAGTCGAGAACTTCAATAAAAATACAACCCAATGTCGTCTCCTGAGCAAAGAGCCAATCAGAGACCAAGTGGGCGGAGACGGTTCGCAAAGCCTATGTTAGCCCCGCTCCTCCTCGGCGCTTGTTTTCAACAGGAATTTTAGTTGATTTTAAACTGTTTTAATGTGTTTTATCGGTGTTTTCGGTGTGAGTTTTAGTATTTCTGTGATATTTTAACAGCCGTGGCGAACTATAAGCGCAGCTAACAGAAGCGGGTGAGTCTCAGAGGTATAAAATACCAGTTTTATTCGGTATTTCTGAACTTTTTTCCTCTCAATAAGCTGGTTTTCTGTCAGACTGAAACTTCCGACCTTTAGTTTTCTTAGTTTCTTTGTAAAAGCGACATTCCTGTCTAAACTTCTCCACTTTTAGTCGCGGGTTAGCAAGTTAGCATTAACTGTCTGCATATGTAGGAGACGCACGCACACACACACACACACACACATCAAGCACATGTATACACACTAGTGATGCGCGGATGGCGGTTAAAATTTCCCTCATTTTAAAGTCGAAAGCTGCGGGAATGAGTAATGCGATGTATGCGCAAGCCCGCAACGAAATTCAGGATCTGATTAAACATAATTCTATTATACAGAGAATTGTGAAATAGATTTTCATGACTTTTCAAAAACTTTTTGAGTTTATTTATTTTTACAAAACTTTCTAGGCCTGGAAATTGCTGTTCAATGACTTTTCCACGTTTTTTATGACCGTACGAACCCTAATGTGATGATCGGGTGCGGGTCGGGTGCGGTTATCTAAATCAGACAAAAATAAAGGTGCGGGTGGTTGGCGGGTGGATCATTTATTTGAAGCTGCGGATTCGGGTGACGTTTTAGCTCATCCGCGCATCACTAATACACACCCATTTACATTTATATACGTACTTATTTATACACACCTAAGCATTTATATATACACATACACTCACCATGCACATGTGTGTATATATATATATATATATATCGCATACATAGTTACATGTACGTTTATATACACATCATACAAATGTATATATACATTGTGCACTCTATTGCTCATGTGTATATATACACATTTATTCATCAGATAGTCAGAGTCTAGACTAGTAGATTATTGGTAATGTTTTGGACTACAGCCAAATCATGATATTTAATAAGTTGCTGTCTTTGTCTTGTCTGTTCCAGGTCTTAGGTTCCCTCTTGAGTATGAGTACAGCATGAGGAGGCGTTTAGAGGATCAGGAGCCAGTGTTCACCCCACAACAGCGCCGGCTTCCTGGCAGCGCCGAGGGCTTCCAGCACAGGGTTCTTGCCCCAGCGCCTGCCGTATTCGAGGCTGTGGCTGACAGCATGCAGCCTACTCCCGGAATACAGTTCCCGGTTCCCCAGGCATACCAGGTGCAGACACACACCATGCATTGTGATGCATTATAGCTCCAAGGAATGTGTTCACACTTGCATCCGTTTAATCCAGAGTGACTCCAGAATCTCCAGAGGCCAAAATGATATTTTAGGATCATTGCTGTGCTATTATAGTTTTTTAGTTTATTAGTTTTTTCTTATATTTTCTGTTTTTGTTTTACTTGTAGTGTTTTTAAAAAGTGTCTATAATTTTTTATTAGTGTTTATTTCAGTTTTAGTTATTTTAGTTTTGTTTAGTACTGCTAAAGTACTACAGTTTAGTACAACTAAATGAAAATGAGAAGTGTTGCATTGGCAATTAACTGAAATAAAATAAGGTTATTGTTTATTTATATTAAATTATATTTCTATAAAATATACATTTGCATTTATATCTGTTTTAATAAAATATATCTTGTTCTGAAGATGAAGTTGAAATTATATATATATATATATGTATGTATTGTGTACATTAATGAGGAAAAAAAATTAACTTAAATGATTTTAGCAAATGGCTGCAATATAACAAAGAGTGAAAAATTTAAGGGGGTCTGAATACTTTCCGTACCCACTGTATATATATATATATGTTATATGGCCTGACAACATCTCATCTGACCGTAGTTCACTGTGTATAAATATTAGTGCTGTCAAATCAGTTACTCGCATCTAAAATAAAACTTAACTTAGTGTGTTTACATAATATGTGCGCTGTGTACATTTATATGTATATATAAATATGCACACATACATGTTTATATTTAAGAAATATATGTAATATGCATTTATAGTTATATATAATAAATCATATTTATACATGTAAATATTTCTTAAATATATATTTTGGATGCGATTAATCGATTTTACACCACACAAAAAAACAATAAAAAATAATAATGCCTGGTCATGTGATGAGAGGGCTTCAGTAGAAAAACAGTGAACTACGGTCAGATGAGATGTTGTCAGGCCATATGTCAGTAAAAACAAATTTACCTGCCAACTGCACACACAAATGCGGCGGCGCACGCTGTATCATTTCATATTAAAGCGCAAATGAAACTTCGAGAATGTGTGTCTGATCTGCGTCACGTTCAGCAGTGGCAGCTCTTAAAGTAATAGCAGACCAATAACCTAATAACCCAGCTTCTGTGATAGTCTATTAATCAAAGAACAAAAGAAAAAAGAGGAAATCAATAACTTTTGTAGCTTTAAGGATTAATCTATATTCCATTTACTATTTAGTGTTGGATAACTTTATTCAATTTCTGTATATTTCCTACTTGCTGAAGGGCACATGTAAATAATGGGTTTATGTGAAGATTGTTTTAACTTCACTTAAAGCTGCAGTCCGTAAGTTTTGCCTCTTTGTCGCCATCTCTGTTTGAAAACCTGGAATTGCAGCTGTGTGTGGAATTATCTAGCTTGCGTGGGTTGTGCGCCAGCATGGCTCCAGCGCGGATGAATCTATGTTCTGAAGAGTATGTGTGGCAGTCAGTCACCGCACCGGTGTGGATATTTACTGTACTTCACAATCACAGATTCTAGCCTACGTCTTGGAATATGACCCAAGTAAGAATTGTCACCGTATATTGTAATCTGAACAAGTAACACGTCTGCCACGTTTGTTGTGACCAACTGAGGAAAAAAGCATTACCATAAATCTCGCTACCAATGGTGATTAAATCTAAAGATCGGTTAGCTCATATCACATCAAACCGT